ATTTGCGTTGGACTCTCTGTCTTAATAATAACTTTTACGAGTATTTGAAAATTGTAAAAATATATAGGGTGTTCCATTTAAAAAGGGAAAGTTTGGTCTGCCACGCTTTATTGGGACACCCTGTACAATGAAAAGTATTTTTAAATTATGCCCCTCCTCCCTCCCTACCACTTTTGTACAGGAATTTTTTGGCTTATTTCAATAGGTTTCGAGATATTTGCCGTCCACATAGTAATGACTCACCCTGTATGTTAATTTATTAGTAAATCGAATTAGACACATATAATTTTTTCTATTATTAATAAGAAATAAAAGCTATTTTTTTAAACTACAAATTATTTAAAAATATACTGTTATTTTTAAAAACACATTGTTTATTATTAATAAATGCTACACTACATTGTCTACTTACCATGTTTTTTCAGCAATTTTATATCGATTTTCGCCTTCTTATTATCGAGATCCCATAAAACAGTTGCAACAGATCCATTTAAGTTCGTTATTGTGCCATAACACAACGCCATCAAATAATTTTCTCCAAACACGGACTTGCACCACTTATAATCAGGTCCCCTGTCAAAATTGGTCGCTTTTGTGCTGACTCTATCGTGATCACGATAAGAATATTGCAGAGACATAATATAATATTACTTTATACTTCACACACCACTGGAACTGCTAAGACTGGCGCAGAAAATACACTTTACTTCGTATCTTTGCTATTTTCACATTAGATAGGCAAAATTTTGCGACGGATTCAATGATGAATATTTCGTCCTGCAGAGAGGTCCGGATCCCATTGAAAACAATGGTGTCCGAATTAGGTACTGCTGGCAGGACAGCACGTACTGCCGGTAGGACGCTTGGACACTATATCATTAAAGGTTGCCTAACTAATTTATTTATGATATACGCACCCCACTGCAAGTGTGGCTCCTGCCTCCTCCTGTTTTCTTGTATCTCTGATTTCTATTTGTGCAGACATCTATTGCTTTATGAATAAATTAAAGAAACATCCCCGTATGATGCCTGTATGCAAACACAGGGGATTCGGGGGTCCATTAATTCCGTATCATGACCAACATTGGTATAGTTTCGATAGTACTATCGATAGTAACTCTTGAAACTATCGGAAAATATCGATAAGGCCGACTATCGATAGTATCCGACCACTACTAGGAACTGCTTCATGTACCTATTGCTTGAACCGCCGATCAACACGTTAAGTGATTTTTGGCGCAACATTTTTTATTTTACGTAATTCTTGGAATAGAAAACACTCGAGAAACTTTTTTTATATTTATTATCCTAAGTATGGTCGATTTTTGAAACCTTTTTACTAAACAAATTATTTTTCTGATTTGGACATATAAAGTAATATTTTTTGTATCTGTATCTGTAACGTATAGATGGTGTGTTACCCCACGGTACTTAGGCCTCACAAGACGCATTGTGTACCCTCCTAAGATGATTAGCACCTCCTAGCTCGTGAGCCAGCCCACAGATTTAATGTAATTGACAACGTCGCCAAGAGGTGCTTTTCTTATATCGGCCGGTGTTAGCCGATATTCGCGAACACAAATCTTCTAATAAATGAGAGCATCGGGCAATCTTAGACGATATACTCGATGGTGTCATCTTCTTGTTCGCACCTCCTACATAGTGCGGATTCTGACAGCCCTAAGATATGGAGATGCTTCCATACTTAGCAATGACCAGTAACAATTCCTGCGACCAGGCGCAGATTCTCTCTAGTCATAGTCAAGTATTTGTTTGCTGTAGTGTTGTCAGGATAACTTAAAAGCTCCCTGGCAACACTGCAGTTTCTTGTTTCATCCCATCCTTCCTTGAATTTCACACGGAAATATTCTTTAATTAGGTCTGTCACTACTGATTTTAACAGACTAATAGAAGGGCCAGGTCCAACAAGCATTTGGTTGGCTGCCTTCTTAGCTCGTGAATTAGCAAGACGGTTACCTTTCGATATGGCGTAACCTTTGGTCCATCTTGAGGTAATCACATTGTTGATAGATACTTCGACCAAAGCTTCGTAACATTCTAATATTAACACTGGGTAAATTTGTGGTCTATTCAGATGAGCATGTTCTTTCCAGTGATATTGTTTATGTTTAGGTTCAAGGATCTGGAATATATTCCACAACCTAAACCTTGTTTTGTTTTAAAACTGTCGGTGTAGATATGAGTCGTACCTGCTACTTAGATATGAGTCGTACCTGCTACTTTTGGCTCTTCTATTTTTCCATGTTCCTGTTTATGTTCGCTTGAAGCAGTTGGAGCATATGGAGCGCCTCTTACCAAAAGCGATGTCTCGCATCATCCGATCATACATCAGATTCTATTCCAACCGTGCGGAGGCGTATCACTGTAATCAGAGCAATGTTCTTGATATAAAAATCAAGGGGAGTGAGACTAAGAATGAACTTCCATGGCTCTGGTCGGTATGGTTTTCATGGCTTCTGTTATGTTGAGACGTGCTGTTCTTCACTTCTGTGCAAAGTTAAGTTTTGTGTTTATAAGCTTTGGAGGTTTTAATTCTATTTTCATCCTTTTCCTTGAGACAAAAACCATTTCTGTCTTCTTGTAAGTATATTCTCAAAATTCCCTGTTTTCAGAATGACAAGGTCATCTGCATATGCTATTGTGCAGTGCCTGTCATTATTGAGGTGTCTGATGAGGGTGTCGAGGACCATGTTCCATAGTAGAGGTGAACCCCTCCCTGTGGAAATCCCCTCGCAGCCAAGCCTCTTATACATCACATCTTCTACACTTATGTTTACTGCTCACTTCAAGTACATCTTGTGTTATCCATCCACTAACCATCTGTGGAACGTTCCTGTTAGTTAGTAAGTGTATTATTTTGGGGAAGGTGGTTTTATTAAAATTATATTATTTAGCACAACTGACAGTTCTCAGCATCACAACACAGGAAAAGCGTGAAAAAACAAGTGCCAAACGAAAACTTTTAAGAATTATTCGATTTGTTGTGTATGCAACCAATATAAGGTTGTATCTATATGGTAAGAGCGCCCGGTGAGATTAGATATACGAGGAGTGGAATTAGAGAAGTTTTTTGTTAAGTGTAACTATGCGGTTACAGTGCACGTTAAAGGGTTGAACTCCGATCATTCTCCTATTTTCCTTACAATTAGCGACTCAATTGGTTGAAAAGAAAACCTTTTAAAACTTGTTAATAGACTTACAGATTGGCAGAGCTTCCAAATCATTCTGGAAAAAACATCGACCTCTCAGTATCACTAAAAACAAAATACCAATTAGAAATGAAGTAGAGATAATGGTAAATGGTATACAGCAACAACTACCCAAGAGAAGTAAGGGATATAATTTTTAAAAAATGCAAATTGAAACGAAAATGACATCATACTAGAGCACCGGAAGACAAAACTAGGATGAATAACGTCACCCAATATTTAAGAAGAGAAATTAAAAAAGCAAGAATGAATCTATTAGTGTATTCCTAAATGAATTGGCAAATAACAAGGCTGTTGACTAGTCCTTGTAAAAGACTAAAAAGACACATCATCCAAAACCACAAATCAAGAATAAATCTAGAAACTGCACCGGAAACAACAAAATAGATTTGCCGAACATCAAGAAAATGCATTTAAAGCTAATGAAGGAGAAGATCTACCAGAACAGGAAACACAGAATTCAGTTATTGTGGAAATTACATTTACCACACCAATCGAGATATCCACTGGAATTAAAGGAAATATAAACCGAAAAATAAGGCCCTTGGTTTTACTTAAATACAGGTGAAGTTCTAAAATACTTGACAAGAAAAACAATAGTTAAACTGAGACATCTCTTGAATGCCTCGTTTAGACTTAACCATGTATCCAGGACATGAAAAGCAGTAGGCATCATAACGATCCCCGAACCAGGAAAACCACCTAATGAAGTTACGTCATATAGACCAATATTATTACCGGTGATTTCCAAAATATTTGAAAAGATACTGTTAAAAGGAGTAAAACCTATAACGGAAGAAAGAACTTTAATCCAAACTCATCAATTTGGCTTCAGCGAAAACCACTCTACCATAGATCAGGTGCACATGATAACTGACATAGAAAACTCATTAGAATCTGTCTTCCTTGATGTAGCAGAGGCTTTCGACAAAGTCTGGCATGAATGTTTAAGTACAAATTAAACAAACTTCTACCCAAACAATATACGCAGCTACTAGAGTCGTATAAATTAGAAATAAACAAGTAGAAGCTTATTCCTACTTAAAAGAAATTAATGCAGGTGTGCCACAGGGAAGTGTTCTAGGTCCAGTCCTTTACCTATTGTACACTAGCTAAATACCTCAACATGAATATGACACCATTGCCAGATTTGCTGATGATACGGTTATACTATCGTTAGCGAAAATCATGAAGAAGCAGCAAATAAACTGCAGACATCCATTATTAAAATTAATAATTAGTCCAAACAATGGAGAATTAAATTAAATAATATTCAGTCTGTGCATAGTAGCTTCACAAAGAAAGGGGAACAGTACGTACCAATCAGTACAGAAAAATATCTGGAGTTAACTTTAAATGCGAAACTATGCTGGAAGGCACACATCAAACAGAAACGAGCAAAGATTGAACTTAGATATAAAAAATGTATTGGCTGTTGGGAAGGGAAGAAAATTCACTCTGTCAACACACAAGAAAGTACTTATATATAAACAGATTCTAATGCCGCTGTGGACTTTTAAATTGCATACCAATTTTCTTTCTAACTTATTATTATATTTTATGTGTTTAGTTAAATAAAGTTTATTATATATCTATTTATGTATCTTCTATTAAATTATAGCAAATTCATAATTTTGTTTATTATTTTATTTACAAATGTATGTGAACTACGATATTATTTATGAAAACAAAATAAGTTTTTAGTTGGCTTCCCAACAACAAGACCACGGCTTTTCAGTATTGCATTCTAATTCTAATCTATTTTTTCAGGACTAAAATTTCTGAAAAGCCATCATGGAGGTATCGGCAACCACCCTCCACGGCGTTCAACCCCTCCGGCCGGTTTGTGGCCCTCCGTTTTTAATTTGGCCACGAAGGCCGCGATTACGGCGAACGCCACTTGCGGCGAGAGGGGCAGAGAGGAATTTTGTCGGATGGTAGATAATGGTAAAGGCCGTTGCGGCATTTGCGACAATTTCAGCCCGGATCCCGGCAAGAGGCACTCTGTTAATTTCGCCATCGATGGCAGCAATCGCTGGTGGCAGAGTCCCGCCATCTATTATGGGCCCCAATACGAGTTCGTGACTATCACTATCGATTTGAAACAGGTAAGTCGCTCGAGGCGTACTAGCATCTACTGATTTGGGTAATTAAACCTTCAATTCTGACGTGTTCACTAAAACACATGAGTAGTAGTATTATTTGAAATGGATAAAGGCTCAAATCAAAGGACCAATTTCATAATCGAACCCTAAAGGCGGATTTAACCAAATGAAGCTTTTAATTACAGCACTTTAAAGTCGTCTTTAAAAGAAGTCATTTCGTAATTATTTTTCTATCATACTTTTACTAAAAAATGCTTTAACAAAATGTTATCATGCTGGTATTGGTGATTTGTGTTTACTTCTAACATTCATCGGAACATTAGCCACAAAAATCTTGGGTTAAAAAATATTTTATAGTTTTATAAGGAAAAGAAAAACTCAGAGACTACATTTTTTGTAATATATAGCAAGTGAATAGTTTTAGTCAATGACCATCATAAGGTCTGTAAGAAAGTATAGATTTGTCAAAAAAAAAAGAAAGAAAAGTAATACAATATGTGCACAGTTATTCTTCATGACTCAGAACTCTTTCATTTTTGCATTGAAATATATTCTTATTTTGATAACTTCTAACTTTTTTAGACTTAATTGTGATAACAATAATCTTCACACCTTTACTGATGTTTCTTATCTACACCAACTAAAGGTGTGTTTCCTATAGGGTGGCTGACGTCAGAATACCCCATTTTCCTATAAAGCTTACTTGGATCTATTTTCAAAGTAGTACCATTTTCTAAGTAAAATGTGCGAAAACAAATTGAGGACGATGAAAATGCACAGGTGCATCCTTTGTTTAAAGTAGAACGGACGAAGGCTTTTTCAAACTTTAATAAATGGAAATTTATTGATTCTTATAGATTGACAGTTGTTAATTATAAAGGAAGGGGTATTTCCTAACAATGTTTCACCTTGATATGTAGTAAATAAAACTTTGAATATTGTACAAGCACGAGTTTCACAACCTGCGGTTTTCGCTTAACTGCAGTAGTCAGAAGTAGTGCCACAGCGTCTGTAGCTGCCAGGCGTTTGATGCTTGCCTCTGACGCTAAAAAAGAAACCAACAAATAAATTGGAACATGTGAGTAGTATTAGGCGTCAGACACTGTGCGGCAGCCGCCCCATAGGAAACAGACCTTTAGGATGTACTCCTTACATTGATGCTAAAGAGTGTAGTTGGTCATTACTAACTCATCTACTTTTTATTTTTAGTCACATTATAAATATTACAATTTTTTAACCTTTTAATATAAAAAAAAATGTATTTCTATCGCTTCATTTAAAGTTCATTATTTTTAATTATTAATTAAATTATCCATCACAACATAATTTATGGTATACCATATTTACTAAACCAAGATATATATTATTTCATTTAAAATTTCCTATTTTATAATTTGCACTTCACTTACAGTACACAATATTTCAGATTCTTTATTTCTGTTTTACAATATCTACTGTATCTGTAACGTGTGGAGGGTGGCTTACACCTACGGCCTCACTGGGCCCATAGTGCATCCTCCTCCTAAGATGATAAGCACCTCCTAGCTCGTGAGCTAGCCTACAGATTTAATGTAGTTTCCAAGAGGTGCTTCTCTTATATCGGCCGGTAATACCCGATACTCGCCGAACACAATAGTAGAGGATATACTTGATGGTCTCATCTTCTTTTTTGCACCCTCTGCAGAGTGCGTATTCTGACAGCCCCATGATATGGAGATGCTTCCGTACTTGGCAATGACCAGTCAGAATACCTATGACTAGGCGTAGATTCTGTATAGTCATAGTCAAGTATTTGTTTGCTGCAGTGTTGTAGGGAAAACTTAAAAGCTCCCTGGCGACTCTGCAGTTTCTTGTTTCATCCCATCTTTCCTTGAATTTCACAAGGGAATGTTCTTTAATTAGGTCTGTCACTACCGATTTTGTAAGGCCAATGGAAGGGTCAGGTCCAAAAATTATTTGGTTGGCTGCTTTCTTGGTCAGTGAATCAGCAAGTCGGTTACCTTGCTTGCCTGAAGGTGACCACGTTGTTAATGAATACTTCGGCCAAAACTTCCTGACATTCTAGTTCTAATCCTAAATAAATTCGTGGTCTATTCAGGGTGAATAGTGCTTGTCTGCTATCTGTATAGATGAGCATGTTCCTTCCAGTGAAATTGTTTCTGGTAATTTCTTTTGCTGCTATGAGAATCCCCATGACCCCTATTTGAACTACACTGGCACTATTCCTCACAGCCTATTTTATGTTAAGGTTTAAGGATCGGAAGTATATTCCACATCCTGAGCCTTATTTTGTTTTAGAACCGTCGGTGTAGATATGAATCGTACCTGCCACTTACGGCTCTTCTATTTCTTCTAGTACAACTTTATATGGCTTACGGAAGATATGTCTCGGTGAGATGGAGTCTATGTTCGCTTGAAGCAGTGAGGCGTATCGATCGCCTCCTGCCAACAGCCACGTCTCGCCTCACCAGATCCTACATCAGGTTCTATTCCAACCGTGCGGAGGCGTATCATTGTCGTCAGAGCAACTTCCTTGATGTAAATATTGTCACGCTTAACGGTTAGGGGGTGGTAATTATTCTTTTTAATGTAATTAGGGGTCCTCGCTTGGCTTGAGAGGTAAAAATAGATAATCACCCACTTCCGCTAAGCGCGCTCTAGCCGATGTTAATCTCAAAAGGCTCAGATTAACTTCTTGGTTTAGAAGGAATCTACGCCACTTAAGATGAACCTCGGGTGACTTAAATTACCGTATATAGAACTAAACTAGTTATAATAAAAACACCATGTACAAAAAATCAACAAACACTTTATTAAATATCGTAATCAAAAGACGCAAAAGATATAATAAAGAATCGATATAATAATATTAAAATTTGGGGTCCTTACCTCATTGTCCTGGAGCAGTCACAATTTTTATTTTTTACTTTATTTTATTTTCAGAAATATTTATAAGTATTTATTTTATGCTTTATATTTTATTAACCACAATTAATTGTTTTGCGATCGATGACGACCACCCTTTTTGCCGTCTCGCAAAACTCTCCATGACCCCCTAAAATAAACCGACTAGGTTCGATTTCGCAAGACTTCCAAAATCGTCGAGTCAGCACAAAGTTCATTAGTTTTTAACTTAATTGTTATGAAACAATGAAATGCATTCTCTACGATTTAAAAGTATTTCGAAATCGACCTACTATTCAGAAATAATTTAACATACAGGATGTTAAATTATTTACTGAGCCGAATGAAAATAAATTAATTCCATTTAAGGAATAATTGTGACAATATCAAGGGGAGTAAGACTAAGAATGACTTCCATGGCTCTAGTCGGTGTTTTTATCATGACTCCTATTATGTTGAGACATGCTGTTCTTTGAATTTGTTCTGGTTTACGGATAGCTGTCAATTTTTGGGTTTTCGGTACCCAGACAATTACACCGTAAGTTAGCATACTAAAATTATATTAAATTAACAGTTCCGAATAATTTCCACCAAGTAGCGCAAAACAGTTAAATCTTAATAAAGTAAATATTAAGTATATTAAAAGGAGTAACAAGACAGAAATTACCATACCAAAGTAACTAGGAAACGCGGACGACCTAGCAATTATGGTCAGGAGCGATTTGCAGGCCCAATCTCGGAGCGGTCTCAGTCTCAAACAGCTCTAAACATAGTGAATAACTGGTGCAAAAAGGAGCAAGTGTCCATTAACTAACAAAAAACAACAGTTGTACTATTTTCAAAAAACAAGTAATTACACGACTAAGACCACTAGTACTAAACAACATGATTATTCCATTTGTCACAGAATCAAAATACCCACTTTAAAAAAATTTATTGAAAAAACAGCAGAAACAAATAAAAGTGAAATATCAAAAATCTCTAGGAAAACAAGATCATCATCAGTGTATTGTCTGTGTGTCTCAAAGTCATAGTAATGTTCGCATACGTATGACTATTTCATCAATCCCTAGTTTTGGGTAGAAATCCAGCAATAACTTATTTTTACTATCCTATTTCATCCTCGCAATGTCTTTGTAGTCTTAATGTATCTTCGTTGTTTCTAATTACGTTTTCACCAGCCAATGTATTTAACAATTCAAGGTTATCCGTTAGTGTAAAGCTATATCCTTTTTTAAGCTTAGGGCCTATAATTTTCATTCATTTTCCAAATGCCACGTCTTTTTGTTTTTTTGTTCTTTAACAATCTTCATAGTATATTCATATGTTCATAAATATACTTTAGAACAAACTTTGTGGCACATTAAATCCGCAACCAGATACTTAAGTATCTGATTCTAGATCTGCCACATGACCATAAATGTCATCTTGAAAATAGATTGCTGCAGATAAAACAAGTTTGCTTGTTCAGATTCACTTATGCGAAACTTGTCCCGGATATCATAGTCCAGGATCCGTAAGTAAGGTCGACCTTCACCCATCTGTTTAATGGATAAAAGTTTTTTTTTATTAGATAAAATATGTTTTTAAATATATCGCAAATGGGTTGCCTATCACGGCCATTTTTTGCTTTCCTTTCTGTGTACAGATAAGGAAAGTATAGAAATCATCATAAAAGTTTCTTATGATGTCATTCTCTATTATTTTGTTCCCATACATGATTTCCCTAAAATGAACCTAATCCGAGATATTTGAGGAAAAGTGCAAATTTCGAATTTTGAAGGCAACTCAAAAACGGATAAAGAGAAAAACACCAAATTTTAAACTTAAGCTTTAATCTATCCTGTGGTGAGCTAATTAAAGTTTGGGCATAGTCAAAGCATCTGGGGAATACTTTACAGGGTGTCGTTTTTTTTATTATAAGAAAATAAATAGTCTGGACCGTATTTTCTTAGGCAACCCTTTTGCGATATATTTATAAACATATTTTATTTAATAAAAATAAACTTTCATCCATTAAACAGATGGGTGAAGTTCGACCTTACTTCGGATCTTAGACTATCATTATGACTGATATCCACAGACAATAGGTACATCGGATAAATGTTTGGCACAGTTGATGAAGGAGGCTCTCATGGTATGGCATGGTCATCTTAACTTACTGATACTTCTGCTGCAATTTTTTCAAGAGATTATTTAAAGTATTCGTTTTATAGCTCTGGTTTGTCATGTGATATATAAAAACAACATCAAAAGCTACACTTTCCAGCCATTTGCAATCATGTTGTTTCTTGTGGCAACTGCTTTTTGTATATTTTTTTTTCCATTAACTGTGGTTACTGTCTTGTTAGTGATTAAAAGAAAACGAATCAGCCATATAGTATAAAGCCAAATTTATAATTGTTTGTTTATTCTGTTTATTCACATCAAACCACCAAACTCCATTGAGTCTTTAAAATGTCAAATGTTAAATGTCAACTAACAGTTGTTAAAAGCATGCTTTAAGTTTTTAAAGGAGCAAAAAATAAGAAATTAAATAACATTTTATCATTAAAAAAATCTAACAGAAATAAAACTCTAGGAAAAATATTTTTTATTACAATATATACTGTAATGCAAGATATTTTCGTCCTATGCTGCTCTTATCCTTCTCTGCCTTAGTTGGGCCTCTTACGGCCTCCATTTTTTTCCGTTACCAAGAATATTCAATAAACAAAGTCAGCCTTCGAAACATCGTCATTGCCAGTCGACGCGAACCGTCTATTTTAGAATATGCCGGATACGCTCTGCCAGAAGCACCGATTCTTGATCGAAGGACGTCTGGAATATTTAAAAGCAAGTCTGGAAGTTTTTTATATGCCACCAACTGTCTACGTAAGTTGGCGGCATATGAAAAACATTTTTATTATTAATATTAGGAAAAAGTTATTTTTTAAAAAAAGTCGAGCATATTCTAAAATCTAAAATTCAATCATCGGATTCTATTGAATATTCTTGGTAAATGGCTCGCATTACAATACTATTCTTCATTTATTTTTATTCTCTTCGGAAAATAACACATAACATTTGGACTTACTTCTTACCATGTTAGAAGACGTAAAGTTCCGCTTAAAATAATGATAACAGATTGAAATATTAATAATCTTTAACTTAAATAAGACTATGAAAACCTGACCTCCAAAATTAAGTATTTAAACCTTTATCGAAACATTTGTTACTGTATTTAGGTCAAAATTCTCAAAAATTGTGTAGCTGTGTATTTAGAAATAAATTATAAAACTAATTTTTCACATAAATCTTTTCTAAAAGATAAGATTACCTGTCTTTTTCCTCAAATTTCGTATTTTTTGCCCTATCCCATTATTCTTAAAATAAATTTCCATTAAAATCGCCTTCCACAAAGAATGTGGAAGGTATGTTGGTCCAAATACATAATCTAGCTCTTCAATATATCAGGGCAATCCAAATTAAATTTAACTCATATAGAGGAATATTGTTGCTTGATAGTGCTGGTAAAATCTTAACGAGAATAAATACCTACTTCTTGCAGGGGACAATTTAGATTTTAAGACAAATCGTAGCAATACTGTTGTAATGTTTATAAAACCCAAAGAAATCTCCTGCGTAATTTCAACCTCTATACGCTCTATACATGTATTTTGTGGACCTAGAAAAGGCGTATGATCGTAATTTTCGATGGATTGTGATAAATAGACTATTAGAAAAAACATCTGTAACGTATTTATCTATAATTTAGCTTTTTTAAATTTTATTAATGCCATATGAAACAAAACTTATATGTTGGTGTACGAAAATGGTTCCAATGTTTTATTTTCTTTGCAATGTCGGCCTAATGTGTTATTATCAAAATAATTATACAGAGTTGTTTCATAAAAAATTACCAATATTTTAAAGAGGATCAGGGTCTTAAAATAGTAACATTTTGTTAAGAAGCATTAGGTCAAATATTATCTACTACTGAAATGCAAGGTACCAAAGTTGTATAAGTGTTTTAAATACAGTCTGTTCGCTATACTTACGCGGGTTTCGGATTAACAAAATTATGCAAATTAGTCATTGACAGCCAGTTCCAATAAGCCTCTTTCCAAGAAATTAGTTAAAACTGCCCTAATGGTCAGATTTAACATTAGGGTAGGTACTAAATTTGTTACAAATATTGCAGTTGAATTGATTCTTTGCAAGTGTTGACATTGTATGTATATTGTAAATTTAGTGGAAATTTTAAAAATGTCTAGACGTGTGTTAGATGTAAATAGTCTAATTTGTAGTGTACATAAGTATTTTACGGATGAAAAAGAAAATGCCGGTCCTTTAAATTCGGTAATGTCTGTACAACAACGCGTATGCGATGCTCTAGGAATTAGTGAATCCAAATTAAGAGGAGAATTACAAAATCACAATAGTGAACTGCCGAAAGAAGATCACCGCAAAACTCGCCCATCATTGAAAACGAAAGATATTCCAGATGGAAAGAAATTTGAAATTCGTGATACCATTTATCGAATGAGGGCCAACAAGGAACATGTGACCTTAAATACAATTCTCTCGGCATTAATAGAAAATTTGACGAAATTGGCAGAACAAGTCTATGGCAAGTGATACATAACTTGGGTTTCAAATTTCAAAAAGAGGATAACAGAAAGGCCCTTTGTGAAAGAAGTTCTGTCGTGCACAAAAGAATTAACTTTCTAAGAAAATATTCTAAATTTAAAGAAGAAGGGTCGAATTTTATATATTTAGACGAAACATGGATATTTTCTAGGGGTGCAACCAAGAGAATATGGCAAGGTGATAACGTAAAGTCCATCAAACATACCGATGGAGAACGGAAGCGACACATAATTTTACATGCAGGAGGGAAATCGGGTTTTATAGAAGGTGCTGATTTAATATTTTCATCTAAATCAAAATCCAGTGACTATCACGATAATATGAACACAGAAATGTTTGTAAAATGGTTGCATGAAAAACTTCTCCCAGGTTTAAGTGAGCCCAGTGTAATTATTTTAGACAATGCACCTTATCATTCTGAAGTATCAAACAAAAGTCCAACGAATTCTTGGACTGTTGATAAAATTAAAGAATGGTTGACAAAGGAACATATACCATTTCCTCAATAATATGTTATAATCAGAATTATTACGCTTGGCAAATATACACGCAAAACCAAAAACTTTTGTTGTGGATCAGATTATTGAAAGTTACGGTCATCAAGTTTTACGTCTGCCACCTTATCATTGCCAGTTTAATCCCATCGAATATATATGGGGAATAGCAAAATAATATTATGACAACCATATTGAGCCTAATGGTTATAGTGACGACGCAGTTCGGGAAACTTGGCGAAAAGCACTTTCAATTGCAACTCCAGAAGTGTGGCGGAACTGTATATCCAAGTGCGAGAAACTAATAGAAGATTGGTGGACTCGAGAAAATAAAATAAACGAAATAAGTCCAATCATAATAACAATTAATGGTGATGACAGTGATGATGATGACGATTATGATATTTTGGATAATAATGACTGATTTTCATTTTTGTTGGCAAGTTAATTTTTTTATTTTTTATTTGAAATTCTCTACATGGGTCATTCTTTAGAAATAAGGAAAATTCCATCATATTTTGCGTCACATCTAAATACTCATGTATCCAAAAATATTATTGCATAGGCTTATATAATATTTTAGGTTAGTAAAATCTGTAATATGTACCCCCCCATATTTTTAGTTTTTTTCGGAAAAATTACAAAAAAATGACATGGTAATGAAATTTGGCTGTCACGGTAATGTCAAAAGAAATGGAAATGTTTAATTTACTTTCATGGTAATGTTAGGGAGTGTAAATAAACAAAAAATATTCAAAAACTACTCTTTCTTTATTAAAAACATGAAGATTAAACGTAGTTCACATAGAAAAAAAATATTTTAAACCATGAAAAAAAAAAAAAAATAACGTTAAAAACTTCGAACGAGAAACTCTTAAAAATAGATAAAAATGTATTATTTTTCAAATATTTTTATATAAAAACTGAGTAATGAAATTAAGTCATATCCTCTATATTTTTGTAATCCGGAACAGAAAAGAGCCCAGCAGAACTTGGAACCGGTGGCTTGGAGAGTTTATATAAAATTTCTGCTGCACGAATTGTCTGGATGTATCTTTTTTCCGGCCAAAAAAAAACTTCTCCTCTTCTGTCCATGAAATCAATTTTCACAGATTTGCCAAAACCAAACCTAAAAATCGGTACAAATTAGAAAACCCATATTATAAAATACAAGAACAAACTATTTTACCTGGATACCAAAAGTCGGCGAAGAAAACTGCTATCCAGTCATTCGGTTTAACATCCGATTCTGAACATTTAA